ATAGGAGTCGCCTCACTCCACGTAAGCGCTTCTTTAAGAACGCTTATTCCCAATGGAAACCTTGACCATAGCCAAGAAGTTTCTAACCTCCCTTTCAAGGGGAACTACGATTACTCTGATTCCATCCCCTACCTCGGATACGTAGGCACAAGATGCGAATCTTGGCGAGTAAACTTAGGACTAACCCTTAGGTCTCTCTTTCACCTTTAACCCTTAGCATATACCCTAAAGCAGATAATCAAGCAAAATAGTAAACTTTAAACAAAAGGTTCCTGTAGAGTACTACAGAAGTTTAGGGTGCTAATACCTTCCCTAGGCTTAACCAACCCCTTACTTAGACCTCTCCCCTCATTGTTTACGATGCAAAATATGTTTTTCCTTTCTTTAACCTTTTCTTCGGATAAATCAAAGACCGGTTGTGAATTAAAGATTGTGATTCAAATTAATTAATAATTTGATATCTTATTCTCACCGCAACACTTATATATTTGGCTTGTCTAATCGATTAACAACTAAAGTTAATCGATTAGAACATTAAAAATGGTCATGGATGATTTTCTCTTTGAGTCAATTATTCTCCTATAAGTATAAGGTTTTTCTTCATTCCATTTTAGACCAGAATTTGAACTTAAAATCATTTTTTTCTCACTTTCTACTCTCTTTTTCTCTATTTTATTATTTTTCACCAAAATTGACTTAGTGCCAAGAGAGTAAAAATTACTTGCAAGAGTTTTATTGTCCTGGTGTTGTGTTTATCTTATACTTTACTCAATATGGTGTTGTCTATTGTGTAATATCTTTGAGAGAATGTTTTGTTTGATTTTTGAGATTATCTAATTAAAATCTTTTTTGAGTTCTTGAGCTCAGCCGATGAAAATCTTTGTTTGGTTTGGAGATTAGCTTGTTAAAATCTCGTTTATTTTGGAGATTAGTGATCGCGACTTTCTATGTCTAATACAACTAACTGCAAGTGCACAGTCTATCGCGTAGTAATAAAAGATATCGATCCCACAGGGACTCGTAATCAAACTAGTGTTCTCAGGAGTTACTATGTTTAGCTAGGTAGAATATGTTTTAAGGGAATAAGGTTGTCACTAAAAGGGGAACTAAGATTACTGTTTGGATTTTTAATTAATTAAATCGATACGTAGTAATTATGTTCTTCAGGGACTTGATAAGTTACTGGTGTATGAAACAGTTTTCACAGTTCATTTAAGCAGAAAACGGAGATTTGAAGACTCTCGTCTCACAATGGTTATTGACGCTAATCATAATCCTAAGGGCCTAACGTACACTTTCGTATTCCGTTCGGGGTTAAAATTACTTTTTGGAAATCTCTAAGTTCTAATTCGTTTTAAAGTGCTTTCGCTGTTATTAAAACAAATGCCTAGTGTTTACTATCTGACCTTACCGCAGCTTTCGCTTGTTGGTTCGTATCTTAATTAATTTCCCACTTTCGTGGCAAAACTACTTTAAAATAAGTTCTCGCTTTCGCGACGAAGTTTATTTCGTAAATCAATTTTAAACACTTAGACCATAAGTTATTTTTGTGAAAAGAAAGTTTTCAAACAAGAGTTATCAAGTCCCATTCGAATTATTACTACATATCGATTACCTAAGTTTAGCTAGACATGGAATTTAGAAAAGCAAAACATAAATAATAATAATAAATAATAAATTGCATTATGATAAAATAGAAGTCGATCAAAATGAAAACCTGTAAATAATGCCAATTGGCCTTTGGGCAGATCCTCCACAGATGTTGGCAGGATTCTGTCTTTAGTTCCAATTCGATCGTACAGTGCAGTAACAATTACAGAAGAGCGGAAATGGGAATGAGTAAAAATGGAAAGGGAAATAAAGGAAAGGGATACAAATAAAACTGGAGAAATGGATACAAATAATAACTAAAAGTAAATTTTGCTGGAAATTAAATTTGGCAGCACTTCGTGGTATGAATGCAGCTCCCTTTCTGAAGTCCTCTGCTTCCCTTTTTATAGAAGTGGAATCCCAACGGTTATCTCTGAGGATGATGGACCTTGAGGCAGATAATTTAGGGAGTAGTGGACCATTTAATGGGAATTGGAACTGCTCTTTTGACGTGTAATCTGAGTGGGGCGTTTTTGCCTGCATGACGGTCGTCACAAGGTGTGACGGTCGTCACCCGTGTGACGGTCGTCATGCATCTGTGACAGTCGTCACATCAGCAAAAACTGTCTGTTGCGCTTTTCATTGTGTTTTCACTCCTTTTTCGTCCATATTTCATCTGGGATTGCTTCTTTTCTTCATGTTGCCTTGTTTAGACGTGATCGTTGAATACCTGCAAAAACATCAGACAAATACACGGAAATAACCCGAAATCGGATCGAAAACGGTTAGACTTTAGTTGAAATATGCATGAAAATATCTATATGATTTCGTGTTATCAATTAGCCCGTTCAAATCTTTTGCTTGATTTGTGAAATTATCCAATTAATACCTCTCTTTGGTTGTAAGAAGGTTCGTGTACAAATTTTTTGAAAAGATGTTGGAACTCTCAAAGGAAACACTCGGAAACAAGAGTACGTCAATTTGTTAGGTCGAATTTGTATAAATTTCGGGTGTATGTTCTCTTTCCCTTATCTCTTTATTTTTCATCGCTTTATTTTCTTTACTTCATATTTCTTTATCTTCTTCTCTTCCTCATTTTTTTTCATTTATTCAGCTAATAATCTCAATTTAAATAATTAACTTAAATATTTTTTATAAATCAATTTTTTTATAATTAGACCGTTTTTTAACCAACACAATTCATTCCTCTTATATTTAGAGTCACATGGTCAACATAAATGAGTTATGCAATTCTTTTTGGGCCCATTTGTTTTGGCTTTTTTTTCTAAATGATTTTAATAGTGTAATATATTTTAGTGTAAAAAAAATTTATAAAGAAATTTTTTATAAAAAATTCAAATTCAAATTTGTTTTGAATAATTATTTTTAAAATGTTATTTTAGATATTTCATCATTTTATCGAAACTTTTTTTAGATATCAAAATTTCAAAAAAAATCACCTAATTTTGAAGCAATTTCAAATAGTTTTTTATAAAAATCATTCTTGAGATACAACTTTTTGAAAAACTTGTGATTTTAACTATGTTTTGATCTTCAATAATGTATGTTTATATTATAATAAGTCAAAATCAGTCTTTTAATTTATAAAAAACAAATTTAAAAAAAACTGTAATATTTTAGAAAACGTTTTTGTAAGATCCATTTTAAAAAATACAAAATAAAAATCCATCTTTTTAAAATTAAAACAGACGAGCCCAAAATTCAATTTAATGACATTGAGGATTGAGAAAGTGAAAGATAGTTTCTTAATTCACCCCTTGATATACTCTTAGACACCTCGCGAAATTCCTTTTATGCCCCCTTGCTTCCGGATATACACATCCGAAAGCACCATTTTTTTACGCTAGATGTTTTCGGAGACACATCTACGGAAAAAGTTCCGTAGATGCGTCTTCTAAATCTTATCAGAACATGTTTTTTTAAATCAAGTTTCGTTGGTCGCAGATGAAAATTAATTGTATGAGATAAATATAAAATATCATGCATCCGTAAATAAAATAATATAATATATATGAGAAGTAATATGTCATAATCATAAAAAAGTGGTACATAAATGTCATCAAAATATACACATGAAAAAACACATCACAGTCACTACTGTGTGCGCCTGACAACATCTACATCCCCTCCTCAGCCTATGCCTCTGTCGCCTTGTCTGTCTCTGTCGCCTCCTTGACCGCCCGGTCTGCGTCCTCGGCTATCGATCCCACCCGTCCTGGAACGATGATTGCGATACATAAGTGCAACATGTGCCACCTCAAGGATCTCATCCAATACATGCATGTGGTCAGACCCCTCAGAGAAGAAACCGGAAGCAACGTTTGTCCGCCCTATCTCCACTATCTAACGACAGCGAGGCAGAACATCCTGAGTGTGATCCAACTGAGATTGCTGCTCTTCTAAGATCTCCTGATGGGCTGGTCTGGACGGTGATCCTTCTGCAATGGACACCATGTATGGGTGTGAGACGGTGAAGAACCAAATGATGTAGCCATCAACACATGTTCATTCTCTCGGCCCTTTGGTCGCCCGACCCTCGTCCGATACCATATGTGTCTAGTAGTCATCAAAGAACTCGTCTATATGCTTACGGGTCAAGCCGAGAAGAGCGGAGACAGCTGGGTGTCTGGGTATCATCTGTGTATACCCGAACTCCCACATGACGCGCTCCGACAAATATGGAATAGTGATGGTCGAACTGCATGCCAACCATCTTGAGAATAATGATATATCGTCAAATGGGAACGTCCCGTGGTGATCAGCATAGACGTCGTAGTGGATGTCTTCAACAACCAGGAGATCGAGACAGACTTTGTAAGGATCGACCACCTGGTTCCCCCTAAGCCGGATAAAGGCACGGGCACACGACATCTGCTCTATATAGTCAAGCATACTCCCCCACCCGGCAATCATGGGAAAGTGTTGGAATATCCAAGCCTGAAATGAAAATAAAAAAACATCAGGATAAGCATTATCACGAATATAGAATGAAAAGAAATGAAAAAAAAAGTTACCACAAGTAGTGACACGCTGCCTGCCACAGTCCTGGTCTTCCACAGGCATCCTTCTCCCAGTGTCCAATACGTGTAGGCCAGGGTAGCTGCCCCCCAATTGTACTCATGGACCTGTGTGGAATTCAAACCGTACCTCAGGTAAGCGACATCGAAATATGTGGATGAAGTGTTCAAAAACAGCTGTGCGCCGACTAAAAATAGAAAATAACACCTCAATACACGTTGTCTATGTATCTCAACCTCATCTGAATCACCATCTGCCTGACGTGCAGCAGTGAGAGCCTCACGTAATCTACGTGTCAGAAAGGAGAACCGCACATGAGCCCCCATGGTCTTATCCACCTCCTCAAGTGCATCTACTGATCAGCCCCAAGCTCATCGATCAACATCTCTCTTGTCTCCTCCTTCCTCACGGAGGAGGGTACCCTTGATCGGTATATGCAACAGATAGGAGATGTCGTCCAGTGTAATAGTTAGTTCGTTATGCGGTAGATGGAAGGAGAATGTCTCAGGGTGCCATCTCTCCGCAAATCCCATCAGAATCCCGTTATGAATAAGGTTGTAACCGATATCACAAAGGTCCTTCAAACCAGAGACGACAAGGACATCCTGGAACCAAGCCTCATGTGGCTGCTCCAAAGATAATATCTTCCGCCCATGGTTGTAGAACTTCTGCGGCTCACGAGTCTGAAAATTTTCCATGAATAAGAAACAATGTTAGTAATCAACAATGGTACAAATTATAAATTTCCAATGAAAAAAAAGAAACAAACTGAGTAATGTTACCTCTCCATCCCAGACATGTCTGGCAGTATGATCAGCATACCCTGTCAACAGGGACGTATCTGAGGGACCGCCGTTGAAACCCTCTGGCTCATCATCGTTGTCGTAACCAACATTCTCCGCTGGGGGGTCATCAGCCTCTGGAGGTGGAACCGGAGCAACACCATCAGAAGAATGAGGAACAAGAGTATCCCGACGAGGCCTGCAGGATGACGGGGTCTGTGATGAGTCCTCAACTGAATTCTGACGCCTCCGGGATGAAGAAGTCGATGATGGGGTAGGATACAAGGTCGAGGCAGTGTCCTGGATATGTGATGAAGAAGAATGTCCAGTAGGTTGTGCCTCGGCTGTATTGGCTTGGATAACGGTGGTCTGACTCTGCTTGCATCTCACATATGCATGCTGTGAAACACGTTCAAGACACAATCTATCGTCTCTGTCGGCCATAATGTATGCAACGAAATAACCAATAAAAAACAATTAGATACCAATAAATCAAAAAACAAAAAAGAAAAAAATTAACATTTTCTACTTCTGGATATACAAATCCGGAACAAGTTCCGTAGATGTATCTACGAAAGCACCCAGAATTCACAGCGTTAGGGTTGTTCCAGAGTTGCATTTACGAAAGCGTCCTAACATTAAATTATTTCGTAGATGTAGATCCGGAACAACCTGTAACTCAAAGGTTATGACAATGGCGTCCCCTACCCATGCAAATGTGATTTTTGAAGCCCTGGTCGTCCGTTTCAGCCAACAAACAATACATACATTGTCTCTAAACTATGTTTCTAAAACTATCTAAGGATTTCTACCCCTAAAACTATATTCTAACTCGTTTACGGGAAATACTCGAAAATAACTCGGAAATTTGAAAACTTACCGATTATATCAAGCTTTCAATGTGTTGGTATTTCTTGATCGTTGAAATGAATGCTCCTTGTCAAATTTGATTGAAAATAATGAAGTTTGGTGAAAAAAGATTTTTTGAGTTGAGAGAGTTTGAGAATGAGAAGAAAAATGAAGAATGAGGGAGGAGAAGAGACTCTGAAGCGTAAGTATTCTAATTTGTTTTGGGACTATATAAATGAAAACCTTTCGTAAATGTAACTCCGAAAAAAATCAACCTTGAGTAAAAAAAAAGTACATTCAAAAATATATCTTCGAAAACAGAAAAATTATTTTTAAAAACGCACATGGTGCTTAAGAATCCAAAAAATGGGGTAAGAAATTCTCAACTGAAATCGACAATGATTCAAAATTGAAAAGTGTGAAACAATACTCATAGAGAGATCTTAATTCACACTAAGGCTACCCTTTCATAGATTGTAAATTGCTCTTTAAAGGGAGATTGGTGCTACCCAAAGCCTCTTCCGTAATTCTAATGCTTGTAAGAGAATTTCATAGTTCAATCCTAAGAGGCATTCAGGATTTCTCAGAACATACAAGAGAATCCCAACCATCATTATTGGGAAGAAATGAAAAAATACATACAACAATGTGGCCACTTGTGAAATTCGTCAATTGAATAAATATCAAACATTATCTCATGTTGGTCTGTTACAACCGCTTTCAATACCTATTCAAGTATGGCCTGATATTTCAATGGATTTCGTAAAAGTTTTAACTAGAGCACATGATAAGAATGGTTTCCCTTCAACAATTGTGCCAAACATAAACAAAATCTTCCTTAGTCATTTTTGGCCGGAGTTATTTAAAATGGAGGGCACCAAATTAAAATATAGTCACACCTATCATTCACAAACGGACTACTAAATATAAGTAATGAACATTTGTTTAGAAATTATTTAAGAGGCCTTAGTGAATCTCAACCAAAATCGTGGCTGAAATTGTTAGGGTGGGTCGAATTTTATATCATGAAAAAGTATAACTTATTTGTTAGGATCTTGAAATAAACATAAAAAAAATGTCAATAATTACAAAGTTGTGATTGGCACGAAACCTCCCCTTTAATCATGATAACATTTCAACAAGTTTAATCCTAAAACAAACTTGTCTCAATCATTTGAAGTTACAATGAAACCAACTAGTAGCTCTCACATAACTTACAACAGAGTTTGCAAGAACCATGACCATGAAATCACACAGTACTTTTCTTCTGATTTTTGGTCTTGCCAAACAAACTCCAGCAACCACCACCACTCTTCTCGCGCCTGCATTACATCAAAAAACCACTTAGTATTACATCAAAAAACATGAAATTAATCAGGTTTCTTAATTTATGTCTCATATTTCTTAAGAAAGTATAGCCCCTGAATCTTATGTCTCTGCATAATTATCAACTAAGCTAATCTAATCGGACATACTATACTTTAACTCTTACGAATGTTTCTATAATTAACTTCAAATTGATCATACAAACAAAACAATGAAACATACCTGCTTCTTATTCTTCTGCTTCTGCTGCTACTACTTTTGCTACTACTACTTATAGTGCTTTTCAAGCTTCCATTACTAACGATACTAGATTCTGCAGCACTATCATCGCTCTCTTTATAAACCAAAGGAGTACTCTTCTTCCACCACTCTTTCTCCTTTACCGATCCATCACAAATAGATGGTTTTGGTGAAACTTTTGACTCATTTTTTTTCTTCTTTTCCTCTTTATTAGATCCCAAAAAAATAAAAGGTAAAGCCACTTTCAGGTAAAAACCTCCACGATCAACTTTCCCATTTCTCTTCACAGGTACCTTCTTATCATCATCAACCTTCTTGTTCTTATTCTTGTTCTTCTCATCTGAATTATTATTATTTTCTTCTGTGGTGGTCGAAACAGCCCTATGGTGATGTTCAACAAGATCCTTCAATGAAAGTTCATAGTTTGATTCAGGCATGTTCCGAACCATTTCCATGAGTTCCTTTTGTCCTCTGATTATAGCTTCGGTTCTCGAAACAGGGGAAAGACTTCTGTAATGCGGAGAATTCATACCCCATCGAGGTTCTTGTTCTGGTTCATCGTCATCATCCATACACAATTGAGGTTGTTTTAAAGGCCACATGTTATTAGAATTAGCAGATTCCCATGTTTCGTGTCTTGTTTCATCGTACAAATCGAATGAATTGTTGGGGTTATGGTGTTTTCTTGTTGGATCAAACATGGTTATGGTTCTGTTTTTTTTTTCTTCCCTCTGTTGTGTGAATGGTGAAATGAAATTGTGTGAAAGTTTGTGATATTTGGTTAGTTTTGAAAGCGGATTATGATGATGTATTGAGCGACGTCATAAGTGGGGTTTAATGGGTGTTCATTAAATTGTTGGGAAAAGAGATTTTAAATGGGAGAATTAATTGATTGGGGTTAGAATTAAATATGAGTATTTAATTTTTGCTTCTTAAAGTCAATTTATTCTAGATGGAAGTGGAGATGTAGGCAATTCCGTTCACATTTTTTAATGTGCCATTCCTGTCTGGTTTTCTCTTTTCTTTTTCTTCTTCCACAAAATCAGTCATCTTAAAAAATAAAATAAAAATATTGTATTAATACTATTATCTATTTTAATTTTTTTTATCTTAATATTTTTATATTTTTAAGATAATGATTAATTGTGTTGATTTTATTTTATTTTTTATTTTAATTTTTACACTTTTTAAATTATTGATTAATTTTGTTGATTTCAATGATGAAACGAATGATATTTATTAAAACAATCTTATTAATAATAAATAATGGAGTAGTTACATAATTTAAAATATAATAAATAAGGATAAATTAGTAAATATAAATAATAAATATCACATTTATATTTTAAATAGATAAATAAAAATAAGAAAGAAAATACCTATTGTGAGATGAATGAAATATTAATTTAATAGTTGAAATTTCACTTCTTAAAAAGTGGATAAATAAATTGGAGTTGAACTCATGCCGTATAATTAGTTGTCTTTGCACAATTGTAAGTTAAGTTGACTTTATGATGTAATTTATTTTCATTTTGTAGGAATTTAGCACCAATGTCTATCAACTTTTGGGGATGGTTTATCTCACTCTATAGAGTGGAAAAATACCATTTAAAAATTTTAAAATGTTTAGATTTCGAAGATGTATCTCTCATGTGTCATTATCTTAAGTTAGAATGTTACAACTTATCTGAAGATACATATTCAATATATTTTAAAACACACCTCATGCATCTCATCGAGCCACACTAACATATTTTGTAAAAATTAAATTCGGAGATGCATCTCCGAAATATTTCAAAATACACCCCATGCATCCCTATCTGAAAGCCTCATTTTAAACATTTATTGATCCAAAAATGCATATATGTTTAGGGTTTATGGAGATGTATCTCCGTAACTAGTTAAAACAATGTAAGTTAAGTTTCTTTTATGGTTAGTCAGATGAAAATGACAATTTATAAATGTTAAGACCTCTGTTATGTGATAAACATTAAACCATACAAATGATATGCAAAAAATGACATATATAAATCCGGAGTCAAAATAAGTCATCATGACATACACAATAAAGTCGAAATATACAATGAAGTCAAAATAAATAAATAAATAAAATACAACCGAACGTAAATCCAAACTACAAATACTATCAACTATTGTGTATGTCAGACTCAAGATCCTCGGGCTCATTTACCCCCGTGCTCTGACGTTGTCTCTGGTACATCAGTGCCTCTCATGCCTCTGTCATAATGGCGTATAGGACCTCCCTCACCTCAGAATTATCAAGAAAGACACCTCTGTCAATATCTGCCTGTGCAATCTCCACAATACAATGACATCTAAGCAACACATCATGAGCATGATCTAACCTAGCATACTACTCCTCTAGTATCTCCTAATGAGCTGACCTTAGTCGATCTCCTAGAGCGGCCTGCACCATATATGGATGTGACACCCTAAAGAACCACTTAATGTACCCGTCTATATAGCTCCAATCGCTTTCAACTATGGTACTTTATGCCTCCTCTGGTACCAGATGACTAAGATAATCATCAAGCATGACATCCATATTTTTACATGTCATAATAGAAAGAGCAGAGACAACAGGGTTTCTGGTTATAGTCTGGGTGTAGCAGAACTATCGTATGACGCGGTCAAGAAGATAATGAAATGTCCAACGTGAACTGCAAGACAACCATCTCGAGTATAAAGTTATGTCGTCAAATGACGGCGTCTCAAGGTGATCGACATAAGTGTTAAAGTGCATATCCTCTACTACCAAGCGGTCAAGATACACTCGGAACGACTCTGTCTCCTAGTTCATCTTCCACCTACAAGAACAAAATGACAAAGAAACACTAAAAGACCAATAAATATTATCGTCAAAAGTGTGATGTTTTATGTCACCTACTTCGTCTACCACCTACATCCCTCAGATAACTTAGAGTACAAGTAGACCAGATAACTTAGAGTAAAATTAGACCAAATAAGCTCCCTCTAGTTGTACTTATGGATCTGATCAAAGTCTTTGAAGTATCGTAGGTAGAGGACATCAACATAAATGGCCCTCTTGTCCACAAAAACGGCAGTGCCAACCAAATAAAACAGGTATGCTCTATTAGCATACGTTATATGTTCCCCACCTACTCCTCATCACCAGTAGCCCGCTCTGTTATAACCAGCTCATATGTATGTACCTTATCTAGGAATAAAAAATTAGCATAAGCCCCTATGGTGGCTTCAAACTCCCTCAAGGCACCGTCTTGGTTAACTCCTAGATAGTCTAACATCAACTCAAGTACATCATATCTACTAATCCTCATATGATCTAAAAGCTTCCCCTTATCAAAAGATGCAGTAGAAACGACACATCTCTCTACAAATGCATTAGGCATCTCGTGGTCCAGATAGATGTAAAACAACCTGAAACCACTCATCAGTAGGCTGATGTAAGCTAGTAATATTTCGCCCATGGTTAATGAATTTCAGCAGATCACGGTTCTGCAAAAAAATAAATCATAGTTAGAAACTTATATTATAATAATAAACGTAATTTAAAAAGAGTCAATCCAACTAATTTTACCTCTCTGTCCCATATATGTCTAGCAATATGGTTCGGGTAAAGAGGCATATTTGAAAAATCTAATGGGCCTCTTCCAAATACCTCTGCTTCCTCATTAGCCCAAGGTCCCTCTGGTGCCTATGATGGCATTAGTGCCTCTAGTGACTGAGGTACCTTTGGTGACTCGGGTACCTCTAATGCATGAGTAAGTGAAACTGGTCGCCTACGAGAAGATGGAGGCAGTGATGCATCACTATGTGACACTTATCTCATACGGGATGAAGAAGGTGGAGATATATGAGCCCTGAAAGTCGACACCTTCGTATCAACCAGGCTAGAGGGAACAAGAGCCAGTAAAACCTGATTTTTTTCTCTTCAGACAGATGCATATTGTGCAATCCTGTCGTCTCTATCGGCCATAATGTCTACAATTAAACTAGACAAGTGTCACACAATTACTACAAGCAACCATACAAGCAAGAAAAGAAAAAAGAAATGAAAACTGATAAAATACAAAGATGCATCTCTAGTTCCTGGAAATCCAAACGTTGCAAAAAATACAGAGATGTATCTTCGAATTTTCATGCATCTTTCCTTTTCGTCAATGACACTAATACAGATCACTAAGAACGCAAATAATGCATTGATCATTACTTTTAACTATGAAACACATTTATCATAAATGTATCAACTATCAAACATGCATAAACTATGTATTTCAATACATAATCATCAATTTCTTCAAATTTATACAAAAACTCAAAAAGTTTTCAATAATAAAAAACTTACAAGAAGTGAGGAATCTTTGAAGTTGATGTAGTTGAATGAGCTCTTTGATGGAGTTAGTGTTGATTGAAGAAGCTTTGATATTGCTTGATAGATTTTGAGAGAATAAGATTTTGAGAGAGCTTTAGAGAAAATTTTGTTTTTTTTAACAAGTGAGGAATAAAAGTGGTTTTGACTCCCATAATCACCTTGGTCTCTGCCTCGACCACCATCGGAGAATGGCCCCCAGAGAAGAAGTCTCGCTGAGTGTGGCAAGGAGGTAGCACAAACGTTTCACTAAGCACGCTCTCCTCGAGGTCGACCAACACAGGACCCTCGGTGCGCTGCCTTTTCGATGAGATATCTTAAGTAGGAGGAGACTGGCTGCACTGAGGAGAGGAAGAATCGTCGGCTCCCTGGTCGGGATTCCCCATCTGCTGAACTTAGGAAAATCTGCTCTTGCTTTTCTTTCTGGCCTTTGTCGCTGCGAGCTTCAAAATGTGTTCTTGCGCGTTCGACATATGGCCTGCAATAAAAAGAGAAACAAAAGTCAGTAACAAAAGAAAAGGGGCAGACACCCTGCCAAAAGAAAGTGTCATTACCTAAAAACCTCAAGGCCTCCTCGCGGGACCTGCACTCAAGGAGAGTCTTGGTATTGATCAGTCGAGCCTCACGATAGATCTCCTCGCGCTCGTCGAGTATGAAATTCCCGTCCTTTGTAACACACTTAGCGGGGGTGAAGCCAGACACAAAGTCGACCATTTTTTGGTGAGCCAGTTGGTCGTCAGCATCCAGGTCGACATGCCTCACAATATAGTTGTCTGGACCTAGGAGGAAGTGGTCTTCGACTCACTTAAGTGGAAATTTTGACACTAAGGTCTCCTCAGGCTCCCCATTTTCTTCCGTGACTGTAAGGTCGTACAACGAATCGAAATCCACGTGTGACACGGGCTTCACGATATAAAACGTGTCCTTGAAAGAGCGAACAAAATCTTGGCATGCCCAGAACAACTTCTTCGGTTTCTTCAAGGATACCCAATTGTGCCTGCCCTCGAAGGATTGACGCTGAAGGTGGGAGGTACGGAAAAATAGAGGAAGAGTGGCCCCAATATGAAGATATTTGTAGACGAGCTCAAATTCCCGCACAAACGATATGGAATTTGGATGCAGTTGCGAGGGTTTCAGACGGAGCCACTGGAACATGCCCCTTAGAAATTGCTGAAGGGGAGACAGATCCCCTCCTCGCGAAACGCAAACTCATACATGGAAAACCTCATCTCCTAGAAGCTTGAGTAGATGCAGTGTCTTTCTTTGGGTTTGTGCACCATCCAGCTCGTGGAGGAACCTTCCAAACGATCCTTGACAGTCGCAAAGGAG